AATAAGACAGAAAATAATAAAGATAGGGTAATGCTGTGGGCGACAAATGAAAGCAAAAGATACTATCAATATGTATTAAAAAATGATAAAAAATGATTTATCATAATCAAAAATCCTGATGCAAAATTTTTGAAATTATGTAATTTATAAACATTTAGAACTTTAAAAACATTGTCCTTAGAAGAAATCTTTTTTTACGTTCGAAAAGCTAGTATTTTCCCCGAATTTTCAAATAAAAAAATTTGACCTAGGTTAATTTGGGCCAAAGTTAGCCATGTTTATTTTTAATTCACAGCTAATTTGATTATAATATTTAAGGAACCTCTTTGACGCCATGATAAAGAATGAGATTTGTATTTTTTGATAAAAAATTTGCACAAATGTTGTACCTTTACGAATTTTAAAAATCTGGTTCAAATGGTGATTAGGAAGAACCTACAAATTCATGGAGTACCAATCCATACCGAACAAACAATTTCAAACTAATAAAATTTTCTATATCTCCGGTTCTACTCAATGGATTTTGATCATTATTTTTTAATTTGTATGTAATTTCTACGTAAATTACAAATATGTAATTTGTTTATATATTAATTAATTAATTCATAATCTAGTTTGTTTAAACAATTAAATGTGAATAGTGAAAAAGTTCGGGTTCCGAAATGGAATGGGTACTCGAGAAGGACTATTTGCCATCAACATATTAATTCAGCGATATCGGGATGTGAATGTTGATCTACACTTGTGGTTCGTTGACTACGAAAAAGCTTTCGATAAAGTAAGTCATGAAAAATTAATATCAATACTTATGAACAAGCGCATTGACAGTAAAATCATAAATATAGTGCAAACGTTATATTGGAACCAAAGTGCCATAGTTCAAATTGATGGGCAACACTCAGAAGAAATGAGGATCTGTAGAGGAGTTAGACAGGGATGTGTGTTATTACCACTTTTGTTTATCTTATATTCTGAAGAAATTTTCCAAAACACGCTCAATAATATCGAAGCGGGAGTCACTGTTAACGGAAAATTAATTAATAATTTAAGATATGCAGACGACACTGTGATCATAGCAACGAGTATAGAGGATCTACAACATCTTATCGAAAGCTTGAGTATAAATAGTGCTGAGATGAGAATTACTATAAACGCCAAAAAAACGAAGTACATGCTGATTACAAAAAGGCCACAAAATATACATCACCTATTGACAATAAATGGTAACGTGATAGAACAAGTAGAAAAATATCAGTATTTGGGAACTTTGATCAATGAAACCAATGATCATACTGTAGAAATAAACAGACGAATAGAGATTGCCAGATCAGCATTTATACGAATGAAGCCACTCCTAACGTGCAAAAATCTAAATTTGGAGATCAGACTACGTACCATTCGCTGTTATATATTTTCAATATTATTATATGGAGCTGAGACTTGGACATTAAAAAAAATGTAATTTAAAAAGAATCGAGGCCTTCGAACTCTGGTTATACCGCAGAGTATTGAAAATATCATGGACTGATAGAATTACAAATAAAGAAGTACTGGAGAGGGTTGGTAAAGAAACAGAACTAATCACCACTATACAAACCAGAAAACTGGAATACCTAGGCCACGTGATGAGGGGAACAAAATATGAAATTTTGAGACTGATAATACAGGGAAAGATTTAAGGAAGAAGATCTGTTGGCCGAAGGCAGAACTCATGGTTAAAGAATCTACGTGATTGGTACCAATGCAGATCGATTGATTTGTTTAGAGCAGCAAGTTCTAAAATAAAAATAGCCATTATGATTGCCAACCTCCGTAGGGAGACGGCACTCTAAGAAGAAGAAGAAGTGAAAAAATAATTTTCTTCCAAAAATCTATTTTTTAACACTATTATCATTAATAATCATAGCAAAGATTGTGTTTTTTGCCTTAAATTGTTAATAATTAAAAAATGGCTCGAAATTCAAGGCAGGAAACGGTCAGGCTCGAAAAAGTAGGTTTTCTTCCTATAGGTCTACATTAACTAAAAAAGTTGTCAGATTCTAACAGAGTAATGCCTCTATAGTTCTTACAATCCAGCTGATAGCCCTTTATGCAACGCATATTATTTCATTTAGCCACTCTTCTGGTACCAATTCATTCGTATGAAACGTCTTCCGACATCCATTTTTCATGGAATTCGGTTATTCCATTGTTCTTTACGTACTTTCGAGCTCATTGAGTTTTTTATTCCTTCCATCCGTGTTTTCTACGGTAGTCCTCTCTTCTGGATTCCTGTAGTTGTTCATAGATGTACTTGTTTCGGGAGTCTACTGTCTTTCATTCATTGGACATGTCCGTACCATTTGAGATGCCTTCATTTTATGCCATCCATGACTGTACCTTCTATTCTCATACTTTATTGCATCCATTTCAGCGACATATCTTTCTTCGATGTCTCTGTTAATCGTCTCGTTTCACAACCGTGTAAATAAAAGCATGCTTTTTACCATAGTTTCATGGGTTCTAGTGCTAGAGAGAGCATGTCAGCTGAGCCAAAACGAAAAACAATCCTCCTGATTGCTTCCACTGGAATAAACTTGATTGTTTAACTGGGCCCGGACTACCTTCTTCTAATTCTTTAAACTCCCGTTTTGAAACTAATAATAATCATTATTTTGTCTAATTACCTATTTAGTTGTCAAGACAGATACATTGTTACCTAAAGAAGTGAAAGTGGTTCAATTTAGAAATTATATCGTAAATAATAAATATTTGAAAACTAATGCATATATTCCTCCCGCGATTTGAGCTACTAATTTTATAAATCGCACCACTAATAGACGTAAATCCCTTCATTTTAATTTCATGAATGTTTTTATTCGCCACATCTCAACATTTTCCATTTCAGAATATTTATCATCAAACTGTACTATACGTTAAAAGCCAATTTGTCAGCAAAAAAACAATAACAAAAGAAAATATAAGACATAAAAAAACCAATACACTTATATCTTGTTATACATTATTTTGTTATAAAATTTTATAAAAGTTTGTCTTCGATTTAATTGTTATGAATTATTTACAGGACGATTATTTGTTACCTTTATGTACCCTTGCTAAGTTGTGAATTAATTATTCAATAAATAATATTATTCTGGTATACTCGTATTATTCTCATTACCCCATAATCGCAATGAATAGAAGACCTCCCGCTCGCTTTATTGTATACACCCAAGACTTCACAATAGGGGGTTGTAAGTAGGTAAAAATATAAAATTTAGTACCAGATGACGTTTAGAATATTCTTCGTGAATGGATTTTGTTTTCGTAAAGAAAGATATTTTTGAAATAGATAGCTCACTGAATTTTACCGTTAGGATTATCGAGGATAGGCCTTAAGCTTTAATAGAGAATATACTAGAGTTAGTCCAATTTTCAAAAAGGTAGATCCATGTTTGGTTGATAATTACAGGCCAATCACCGTAACAAGTGTACTCGCTAAAATTATCGAAAAGTGTATTTACAGTCAAATGTTAAATTTTCTAAATAAATATATCTTAAATAAATGCCAGCATGGGTTTCTTCCTAATAAATCTACAGAGAGTGCTTCTATTTCATTACTTAATTATATCCACGCTGCTTTGGATCGAAAAAGATATGTGGGTGCACTGTTTTTTGACTAAACTAAGGCTTTTGACTCTATTGACATTGAAATTATACTGCATAAATTAGAAGCACTCGGTTTTCGGGGTCATTTCTTGAACTGGTTAAAGTCATACTTACAACATCGTAAATTCCTAGTAAAAGTTGATAATAAGAAGTCATCTGGTTTTAATCTTGATTAAGGTGTACCGCAAGGCTCCCTATTGGGACCCTTAATATTTCTTTTATATGTCAAAGTCGAACTCATATCAAAAATGAACTTAGTAGCACAGGAATTTACAACCTGGTGTAAAAGTAACTCTTTAATGGTAAATGCAAAGAAAACTATTTGTATGCAGTTCTACTTGCGCTGTAAGCCATCCCATGGTTATAAAATCACAGTTAGTTCTGAGTAAATACCTTTTAGTGATACACCATTATTTCTTGGTAGCATTCTAGAAAGTAATATGACATGGGATGAAAATGTCACTAAAGTCTGCAAAACAATGAATAAGGGTTACTATGCGATCCTTCAGTTGAAAACTCTATTTAACACCAATCAATTGATAAGTGTGTATTATGCATTGGTTTATTCATATATGGCCTATAATGTTGTCTTGTGGGAAACTCTAGAAACTCTTCTAGAGTTTTTATAACTCAATAGAGGATTCTTAGATTGATATTCAATATTGATAATAGACAATCATGTCGTTAATATTTTATTGAACACAGGCTGTTGACTTTTCATGCTTTATATATTTATAAGTGTATTATTCACGTCAAAACTAAATTTCAAAATTTTAGTTTCAACTCTGACTTTCATAATTACCCGACAAGACACGGGAGGTTGATAAGCGTGTGTAAACACTCCACAACTCTCTTTGAAACTAGTCCTGATTTTGCAGGATCTAAATTTTACAATTGTTTGCCACTTAATATAAAAAATGAAAATAATATTCAAAAATTCAAAAATAAATTAAAAGCATGCTTGATCCAATTATGCGTTTACAACCTAAATGATTATTTTGACTTAATAAAAGACTACAGGGAATGAGGACCGACGAGTTCAGAGACGCTCTATATTGCATATCTTTTTTTTTATTTTTATATTAATTTATATTTTATTGATTTTGTTTTATGTAATTGTCCTATATAACTTGTTGATCATGCTTTATGTACTATATGACTTGTCCTATATCGCAATGTGATCTGATGGGATTAATAAAGAATATTCTATTCTATTCTATTCTGGCTCCTTAAGTTAGATTATATGTTTTATACACTTTCTAAAGCATTTTATTACTTTAAAGTGAATTATACTTTGATATTTTATCATCAGTATTTTCTTATTTTTACATTTTAACTGTCGTTATTTTTAGATTAAGAGATGATTTACATAAGCGAAGATATGGTCCTGAGGTTAATAACCTGGGATAAAACATTTGAAGCAGTGGAAACAGCTATGAAAAAATACTCCGAAAAACAGACTATACAAAATGCCAGAACTAAAACTCAAATAATAGGTAAACCGAATATGTTGGTTACGATGCCAGGATATTTAAACGATGCGAAATATGGGGCATTGGGATGTAAACTAGTATCATTTTTTCCGGGGAACAATGATCTTCCCAAGCCAATGCCTAGCGTGTTGGCAAATATTATGTTGTTTGATGAAAATTCAGGAGCAGTGAAAGCTGTAAGTAGAACTTAAACATTGAAACCTAAAATTTGATGATAAAAATGATAGTTTTCTTACAATTATTAGTGATTGATAAGCAGTTTAAGGGAATGACTTCAGTTTCAGTTTATAAAGAATTTAAGTAGAATTTGTATGTTCTCATTATAACTGCCAATCAAACCGCTTCGAGTCTATTTACAATAAGTATAATTGCTCTTTATTTTGATTTTGATAAAGTTCGACTCGAGCAGTCGAACAGTGCGGACAGTGGTTTGGTGGGAGCAATTGACCTGACGCTGACGTTAACGGAGCTTATCATGATACTATGAATAACAAGATAGGATCTTCCCGTCTCTCAAAACCGGTCGGGTTCGGGCATGCCGTCATTGGAGAGTAGAATTTGAAATCTTGTTAAAGTTAAATGGGATTTGTATGCATTCTGTGATGAAATTACTAGACAAAAATAAGTTAAGAGGTTTAATAATTACAATAATCGTACACATAAGGATATCTCCAAACTATTTATTAAAGATTATTTATTGATATACACAAAAAACTGACATTTCGAACGTGCAACTCTCCAATGACGTCACAAAACATGCGCAATATCTTATCTTCTAGTCATAGTATCATGGAGCTTATTAACTCTCGGCATTGATTATAAACCACCACCTAGATAGCTCACCTCAGGTTTGTTCCAACTCGATACAAAACCATTCAGTAACCGTTGAACGCATGCGCACTACATTATGTGCGTTCCAACTCGATTTGTACGATGTGCAGAATGATCCAAAATACGTTCCAACTAGAAAATTGGTGATTCCGGAATCGTTTATGAACTGTAAAATCGATTCACGAATTTTTTAAGAACTGGCCATTCTGACATGCGCAAAACAAACAATTTCCGTTTGCAGGTTATATTTACATAAATATAATATTCTAAAATCATGATACTATAACAAAACAAGATAAGTCAACGCGCATGTTCTTGTGACGTAAGCCTGAGACAAGTTGTCAAAATGCCAAATTGACAAAATTAATGACAGCAAGTTAAACTTTAAAATTAAATTAAAATTTTTCATTTGATGCAATTCTAGTTATATAAATAAAAAGAATTTATATTAATAACAGCAGAGAATTATTATATCAATATTATAACAGCAGAGTAAATGTTTCTATGGATAATAATAAATGTTTCTATAGATAATAATATATACTAATGCCCATTTTAATAGAACTTGAAGTAATGCTTTATTTTTGATAGGTCTTTAAAAAAAGTGTTTGGGTGTATGAAGTGAACTGGAACATATTTTTCGTAGTTATAATGGCGACACATTAAAAATAACAGCAAAATATTGTTTAAAAAACTTAATAGAAGCTGCAAAATGTGTAAATGTTAGCGAAGATGTAAAATTACTTTTTTTAGATGTAAAATGTATTTTAAAATACAAATTCTAAATCAAAACATTAAAGATAATTACAATACTACAAAAGAAAAATCACAAATATTGTAAAATAAATGTCTAAATAATATTCATAAAGTCTCAAGTTTGCCCCTCTTTTCCTTTATGGTCAAATTCTTTACATTTTGCCGGCCTTTTATATTTAATTTATGTTTTGTAGCAATATTTATTTTGTTTGTAATACACACAATCAAATCGTAGATTCATATATTTCTTTAAATAATTTTACACATTACTTATTAATTTTCAAAACACGTTTTTACAGAAAATAACTAGTTATGACTTATTAGTGCAAGATATGGCATCGAGATATACTTACCGTTAACAGTTTAAGTTTTGATGTTGTTCATTACAGTAATGGAACAACGTTGCCATATGTTGCATCGTTAAAATATGATACAAACAAGTCCCCTGGCTATGTCATACCATGACGACATGCGCAAAGTCGATCAAAATTAGAACGGCAAGTGAGCATATATATTGTTTGTTATAGTATCATGTTCTAAAATATGTGAGTTGAGTTGCTGTAAATATCTAAGTTTTAACTAATTTTAAATTACGACAAGGGCTTTTATTAATTTTATAAAATGAGTGATATCGAAGGCGATAGTGATTTCACCAATGACGATACTAGTGCTAATGATTTAGAGTTCATGTTAAACCAAGAAAGGATGAAAAACAAAAATTACTTGGGTAAGTAATAAAGTATTAAATATTTATACTTTTGGAAGTTCTTTAAAAAAGTTTTCCTTAATAATAGCAATACTTTTGTAAAAGTAAAAATAATATAGTACATATATTCTGAACATATATTAAAAAAATGATGCTCTTTTTTAATTTTAGAAGAAATAGTGTATCAATATAGCGAACCAGTGTTTGTTGAACACTTTAGGACGTCTAGACATATAGCAACTTCAATTAGTGAGAGGTTTAGAGAAAGTCGCTTATACAATAACAATATGAGTCGTTTTGGAAATATTTCTGCCTATCGTCAAGTAAGTGAAATTGAAATGTAACTACCATTACAAATAATTTTTAAATATAACTATCCATTTTAGATACTGATTTTTTATGGTATATAGGACACCAAACTTCCAGTTTTAGAGATGTAGCAGATAGATTCGATATTACAATTAGTTCCGTGAATAGAATAATCAATAGGGTTACCATGTTTTTGAGTAATATATCTAGGGAAATATTGACATGGCCAACAGAAAATGAGAAAATTGTGATTGAACAGCATTTTCGAGAAAATGGTTTCCCCAATATGATAGGTGCTTTTGATGGTAGCCATATCAAAATTGATAAACCTACAAATGACCCTGAATCTTACATAAATAGGAAAAGTTATTATTCAATTCAAGTAAGTATACTATGCGCTAAAAGCAAATGCTATTTCTTCCCACATGGATGATGATTGCTGTTTGTCTGAGAAGGATGAGTGTTGAAAATAAGACTTTATTTAAAAAAAATCACAGGATATTAGGTGTAGAGTAAGTAAATCTACTGAGGGCTAAAGAAGTAGTTTTAATATGAGGATAGAATAATGATGGGTGGTTAAAACGAAAAGATGAATCATGTAAGAAATTTGATTGCTTTCTTAATCTAAAGTGAACACCAAAATATTAAATGTCTATTGAAGGCAATTGTTTTGTACTTTTTACTGAAATAGTGTTTTTAATTAACTTCTTTTATTCATTTGCAGATGCAAGTTGTTTGTGACCATAGAACAAAAATTCTAGACTTGTATGTAGGTTACCCAGGATCTGTCCATGACAGTAGAGTATTTAGAAATTCTACTCTAAATAATACTATAGAAGAAAAATGTGGGAGATTTTATATTTTAGCTGACAGTGGCTATCCCTTGAAGGCCAATGTACTAACTCCATATAAAGATAAAGGAAATCTTACTAGTCGTCAACTAAATTATGTGATGTGGGTATTAGTAAAAATAGTTAGGTAATGACTGTGAATATTGATTTACACGATTTTATTAAAAAGAAAACCATGTGTTACAATTTAACCTACATCTTACAACAACTAAACATATGTATCTGTCTCTTGTCACCGTTCACTCTCGGTGGACACTGTCATGGTAACTTCGGTGGTATACAGCCACGGAGCGGTGTGGCTGTTACATCCTCCCCCTTTGCATCACCCTGGCGACAACAGAGTCTAAGCAGGAATAGAGCTCTACAGGACAGCAATGACAACGTTTTGGTCGGGGTTGCCTACGTCTGGCAATATGGTCAGGTGCAGGTTCAGCTTCAATTTGAGCAAGGTCATCTCCAACATGGGGGTCCATTTCGCTATCGTCTAACCCAAGGGTCAAAGACTCTGGGCAGGAGACCAGTGGAGCAGGAGGGTCGGCTTCTGAGGATTTCACTGGACGACCTCTTCTACGGAGAGGTTGAACTGGAGCAGGGCACGGATCTTCTGGATCGGCATGGAAAGGCGTCAAGGCTGAGACATGATATTTCCCAGCAGGAACATCTGGAGTGTCGATGTGTGAAACTTCATAGGTTGTAGGGGACAGCATTTTGGTCACCTTGTAGGGTCCGTCACGACGCGGCGCCAACTTCGAAGTTATGGACTTAGACGCGTCACTTAGTGTATGCGAATCGACTAGCACAATATCACCTACTTCGAACGAAACCGAGCGGCGGTGGCAGTCTTTATACTTCTTACGTCTATCTTGAGATTGTTCATGTGTCTCGCGGGCTTCACTAAGAGCTTTACTCACTAAGTTATTAGATAGGGCGTGATTTGTGGCACGAAGTTGTCCTTGGCTATGATGCTTCGAAAATCACGATTTGCATCATCAGGAGTTCGTAACTCGCGACCGAACGTGAGGTACGCAGGAGTGAAACCGGTTGAGTCGCACTTCACAGTGTTCATCGCGAACCGTATAGCGGGTAACTTTTCAGACCAGGACGAATGGTCATTATTTGTTAGAATAGCTAACTGAGTTTTAATGTCTCTATTCTTTCGTTCGACGGGGTTAGCTTCCGGGTGGTATACAGGTATAAGGTTTTGTTGGTATCCGAAACAATGCGCCACTTGCTGCATTACCGCACTCACGAACTGAGTACCGTTGTCACTGACGACTCGACGAGGGATTCCGTATCGTAAGATTATGTTGTCTATGAAACACTTGGCGCAGGCAGCGGCAGTAGCAGATTCTAACGGGAATAATTCTACCCAACGACTAGCAGTGTCTTCCACTAACAGAATCCATGTATAACCTTGAGGAGAGAGGGGCAAAGGCCCAAATAAATCAATAGATAGCACTTCAAACCTCTGGGACTGAACAGGGGTTTGTAGGAGACCAGCGGGTTTGAGGTTAGAGACTTTATAGCGTTGGCACTCAAGACATTTACTTACATGGTCAGAGATAATTTTCTTCATTCCAGGCCAGTAGTAGCGTTTTATTATTCTTTGATATGTCTTCTCCACTCCATAATGACCAGCAGTAGCGGAATCATGGTACTCATGCAGTATGTGAGGAATACGTGTACTAGCCACTACCAATTGGGGCTCTTCTTTATCTACTTC